CCCTCAGTCCCCTGATCTGTAGACTGTCTCTGCCCCCCCTCCCCTCACTCCCCTGATCTGTAGGCTGTCTCTGCCCCCCCATCCCTCACTCCCCTGATCTGTAGGCTGTCTCTGGCTGCATGTGTTGTTCCCCTGCGGTTTCAATCAGCAGAGAGAAGCAGGGATAAGATGCAGCTTCCTATCCCTGTCTCTCTCCATACACCTACTGGCCGGCGCCGGTATTGCAGTTCATTTTAAATCTCACACGAAAAAAGCAGAACAAGCTGAAAAATCCAGGGGGGGCAAGTGCCCCCCCTTGCCCCCACCTGCGGACGCCCATGGTTGTGGGTATAGTGTGAGATATGGCCATGTTGTGGATATTGCGTGGGATGTGGCCATGTTTTGGGTATAGCGTGGGATGTGGCCATGTTGTGGGATGTTGCCATGTTGTGGATATTGCGTGGGATGTGGCCATGTTGTGGGATGTGACCATGTTGTGGATATAGCGTGGGATGTAGTCAGGTTCTAGTGCCATTATAATGTCATTGTTGAGTCTATTTCTGAACACCTGGGAAGCTCTGAGATAGATGACACAAACTCACAGTAATTATCTCCTAGAATGCTGCGGTAGAGAATGTGGACTCTGTGGACTCATTGTTCTTCTGTATTTCTGACATTCAATGCTTTTTCAATATTCGCTCAGGGAGATTGTTTAAAAGCCTCTAACTCGTTTATCTTTGTGTTCTCAGCTTTTAACCCTCGGTGGAACCAACCCCTGACATTCCACGTTCACGTGCCAGAGCTGGCGATGATCCGATTCTGTGTGGAGGATCAGTTATCGCTGGTTTCCAATGAATTCCTCGGACAGTACACATTGCCCTTAACGTGTATGAGTAAAGGTATTGTTCTGGTCATATTGTCAGAGACTAAAATAGGTTGATACAGCTACGTAAATTGCTGGGAATTGTTGGCTCGCACCCGAGCTGCTTACAATGTCCGGTTCTCTTCCTTGTGCCAATCCCCTGCCCTGGAGCTGGAAAGGGTTAAAAAAAAAAAAAACAACACTTTTTTTCTTACCTGATTCCAGCACTAATTTGCCTTGGAGATGGGCTGCAGCAGAGTCAGCCGATGGGGACATGCGCACAGTAGGCTTTCCTATGGGGTTTTTTCAACACCCTGAATGTCCTCATGCAAACCATTTTCACTTTAAATATCTTCTAACGATCCTGTTGGGTTTGATTGATCTTGGTTATGTGATATTTGTTTAATTTTATGTTATTTCACTCTTAAATTACCTTCCTTGAACTTTGCAGGTTTCCGACATGTCCCTCTGCTCAATAAACATGGTCAAACACTGGTCCCTGCATCCTTGTTTGTCCACGTTTGGTACCACTGATGCCTCCAATGCCACATATACGTTGATCTTCATTGGAGCTTTACTGAGATCTAACCTGGCACGCTAACTAGACCCATAATGAGAATTGAACGAATCCCTTTCATGGCCTTCTCCGAGTTCCAATTAGCCATTGAATAAAGCAAGCGCATTTAAAAGATTGGTCATAGACACTTCATTTATTAACGGATCAAATATTTTAAAGAGCCACTGTCACTTTGAAAATAACATGGAAACTCACCTATAACGTGTGTACATTTTTATAAGATGCACAATTTTCTTTTAAGTTTATATTAAAGATTTGGTAAATTACATTCAGACAAGTCACAGCCACACAATGCAAAGGATGAGAAAAAATAGTAACATTGTTTAATTTCTCCTCCTCTCTGTATGCTCTATGCTGACTGCCAGGAATAAAGGGCGGAGCTTATAACAATGATTGACAGGGAGCTAAGATGGAGGCGGCTCTCTCTATGTTGACTGCCAGGAGTAAAGGGCGGAGCTTATAACAATGATTGACAGGGAGCTAAGATGGAGGTGGCTCTCTCTATACTGACTGCCAGGTGTAAAGGGCGGAGCTTATAACAATGATTGACAGGGAGCTAAGATGGAGGTGGCTCTATACTGACTGCCAGGTGTAAAGGGCGGAGCTTATAACAATGACTGACAGAGAGCTAAGATGGAGGCGGCTCTCTCTATACTGACTGCCAGGTGTAAAGGGCAGAGCTTATAACAATGATTGACAGGGAGCTAAGATGGAGGCGGCTCTCTCTATACTGACTGCCAGGTGTAAAGGGTAGAGCTTATAACAATGATTGACAGGGAGCTAAGATGGAGGCGGCTCTCTCTATACTGACTGCCAGGTGTAAAGGGCGGAGCTTATAACAATGATTGACAGAGAGCTAAGATGGAGGCGGCTCTCTCTATACTGACTGCCGGGTGTAAAGGGCGGAGCTTATAACAATGATTGACAGGAAGCTAAGATGGAGGCGGCTCTCTCTATACTGACTGCCAGGTGTAAAGGGCGGAGCTTATAACAATGATTGACAGGGAGCTAAGATGGAGGCGGATCTCTCTATACTGACTGCCAGGTGTAAAGGGCGGAGCTTATAACAATGATTGACAGGGAGCTAAGATGGAGGCGGCTCTCTCTATACTGACTGCCAGGTGTAAAGGGCGGAGCTTATAACAATGATTGACAGAGAGCTAAGATGGAGGCGGCTCTCTATACTGACTGCCAGGTGTAAAGGGCGGAGCTTATAACAATGATTGACAGGGAGCTATGATGGAGGTGGCTCTCTCTATACTGACTGCCAGGTGTAAAGGGCGGAGCTTATAACAATGACTGACAGGGAGCTATGATGGAGGTGGCTCTCTCTATACTGACTGCCAGGTGTAAAGGGCGGAGCTTATAACAATGATTGACAGGGAGCTAAGATGGAGGGGGCTCTCTCTATACTGACTGCCGGGTGTAAAGGGCGGAGCTTATAACAATGATTGACAGGGAGCTAAGATGGAGGCGGCTCTCTCTATACTGACTGCCGGGTGTAAAGGGCGGAGCTTATAACAATGATTGACAGGGAGCTAAGATGGAGGCGGCTCTCTCTATACTGACTGCCAGGAGTAAAGGGCGGAGCTTATAACAATGATTGACAGGAAGCTAAGATGGAGGTGGCGCTCTCTATACTGACTGCCAGGTGTAAAGGGCGGAGCTTATAACAATGATTGACAGAGAGCTAAGATGGAGGTGGCTCTCTATACTGACTGCCAGGTGTAGAGGGCGGAGCTTATAACAATGATTGACAGAGAGCTAAGATGGAGGTGGCTCTCTATACTGACTGCCAGGTGTAAAGGGCGGAGCTTATAACAATGATTGACAGAGAGCTAAGATGGAGGCGGCTCTCTCTATACTGACTGCCAGGTGTAAAGGGCGGAGCTTATAACAATGATTGACAGGGAGCTAAGATGGAGGCGGCTCTCTCTATACTGACTGCCAGGTGTAAAGGGCTGAGCTTATAACAATGATTGACAGGGAGCTAAGATGGAGGCGGCTCTCTCTATACTGACTGCCAGGTGTAAAGGGCGGAGCGTATAACAATGATTGACAGGGAGCCAAGATGGAGGCGGGTCTCTCTATACTGACTGCCAGGTGTAAAGGGCGGAGCTTATAACAATGATTGACAGGGAGCTAAGATGGAGGTGGCTCTCTCTATACTGACTGCCGGGTGTAATGGGCGGAGCTTATAACAATGATTGACAGGGAGCTAAGATGGAGGCGTCCAGTTACAAAATAAAGAGGTGAAGATTTCTATATTTAATTTTATTATTTAGATCTAATAAGTACATATTTATTAAATATAGGGAAAATTTGAATATTATAAATTCTGGGAAGTGACAGCCCTGTTTTAATGTTTCAGAGTAAATTTTAAATCTTCTAATGTTTTAAATATCAGGGCGTATTTATACCAGAAGAAAGCCAACACTTGTGTAGTTTAGAAAAAATAGAAATGTGTTTTTCTATTTATTTATATTTATTTATTTGAAAATGGATATTAAACTGTGAACATTCTGAGTTCTGTATAATATAGTCTGTTAGTCCCCTGCACATGGGATCCTATCTACAGTTTTTACATCTGTTGACATTCTCAACATGCTTTACATTTTTATATTTATTGTTTATTAAACAGGTATTTGTTCTTCTAAGTGTATTTCTGAATGTTTTGCTTATTATTTCATTTTGTAATAAGTATATATATTATTCTTACACTGATAAGGGCACCCTTTTTGTTGCTTTGGGTATTCTATATTATACATTTAATAAAATCCATATTTATCTATTTATATATTATACATTTAATAAATATATAATATAGTAACAGATATTTTTTACTTCTCATTCTCTTCTTTTTCCTCGGTTACTTTTTCTCACCTGATCTGAACATGAAATCAGCAAACTGGGAAATGTTTACACAATATTTATAAGTTGCAGTACATTATTGGGCCGTTTTCTTATCTTTTTAGTTCATCTGAAACTTTTCCCTGAATATTTTGCAAGGGTGATATTCTAAGAAGCCGAAAAGCTACATGGATGACTATCGGACTAGTGAAGTTTTTTTTTTTTTTGATGAATTGATTTGGGTGAACATCATTCTTCCGATGTGGACAAACCTAATGTGAGATCTCACTTTCTCAGGTGAGAATTCCATTGTCATAATGTAATTACTCTCTACTCAATAAAGCCTTAAAGAGATCCTAAAATGCCAGGAAAACAAACCATTTTCCTGGCACTATAGGCTCTTGGAATGCCCCTCTCCCTTGGCGGAGGGGTTAAAACCCCTTCAGCCACTTCCCTAAATCCAGCGCCAGGCATTTATGCCCAATGGAGGAGGACTGGACATAGGGGTAAATTCCTGCCAGAGGGGTAAATTCCTGCTCTATGGAGGACTAGACAGACGGGTAAATTTCTGCCCAATGGAGGACTGGACAGAGGGGTCAATTCCTGCCACTGGAGGAGGACTGGATAGAGGGATAAATTCCTGCACAATGGAGGAGGACTGGACATAAGGAAAAATTCCTGCACAATGGAAAGAAGGGTAAATTCCTGCCCAATGGAGGAGGACTGGACAGAAGGGTAAATTCCTGCCCAATGGAGGGCTGGACAGAAGGGTAAATTCCTGCCCATGGGAGGAGGGCTGGACAGAAGGGTAAATTCCTGCACAATGTAGGACTGGACAGAGGGTTAAATTCCTGCCCAATGGAGGAGGACTGGACTGAAGGGTAAATTCTTGCCCAATAGAAGAGGATTAGGTAGAGGGATCGCTAGATTTCAATACATTGGGAGGATTGCTGCCATTGTTTCCATGAAGAGACAGAAGGAAAAGGACAGATGATGCAGAGAATCAGGTCTAGAACAAGCAAGACACCTGCAGGAAAATCGGGGGCACTAACAAAATACTTTAGGGACACAACAGAGCTCCAATCTGAGCCTGTAAGCCCCAATGTGGCACAGGACTCACCACCCCCATGCTCCCCTTTGTCATATCCATCAGGGTCTGAAGCCTCCAATACAGCTGCTGACCAGGCATCAAAGACCAGTTACGCGCACTACCATCTAAGCACGATATGGCATACATGCTGAACAAGCTCGAGACCTCGTTTCAGGTCACACTGGATACCATAGGGGCTGACATCAAGTCAGTGAAAAGTAGAGTCAGCTCCCTGGAAGATGATAGTGACACCACTCAGGCCCAGCTCCAGGCATTACAGGATGTAGAGGAGTAGAAGTATTAACTGCAATATCTCCACTGCTAGACTTAATCAGCATTCAAGAGAAGCATAGCGTGGCAATTCCAATCCCATTCCCCAACAACTGGACGATACACAGCTTTGGTAGTCAACAGTTTTTTATTGAGCCACAGCTGGCTTTTATACAATTTCCCATGCAAGGGGTTTCTTTAAAGACATTCCAGGGGCTTTCTCCTGGTGGACCTTGTTGAGGACAGGGAACAAAGACTCATTTCCCATGATCATTTTCTGTACTTGGAAGATAATTGCGTAAGGACAATTCTTTAATTAAATTATCTCCCAAGTACAGAAAATTAAACAATATTTTAAAACATCATAACTCCCATAATATTAATCAGAACTCCACAAAAGATACGTTACCGAATAGCAGGGATCCGAGTGCCCAATCTGTTGAAATACTGCTCAGATCCGTTCGGTAGAACAGTGGCGCTGTTCGAGTGAAGTTTAGACCTGTCAGCCATGAGGCAAAGCGGGGCAGTTTCATGTGGTTGGATTTCTTTCGGGAGTTCTCATGATTAAAATAACGAATATAAGTGTTCATTAACTGGCTAGTCGTGTGCCTGATGTTCGCTTGTTCAATTCAGTTGAATGCTGCTTTTCTAGACGAAAGGAAACAAACATACGAACAAGATGGAAGTTCAGCGGTGTTTGCGAGGTTGAGTGTCCGATTATAGTTCCACGCACTTGACGACCAAACACTGCTGGGCGTTCGTGCGCCAAGATCGCCACCGCCACGTGTCCGGTTATACAAATGGTGGCCACCCATCCGCCATTTAGAACCTTGCGGTTTTAAGGTGTTACAATACTCAATTGGTGGCACACGAATCCTCTGGGTTGTCTCCCCATTCGATGGTTGGTTCGACTGACAAACAATATGTCCATATTCTGTTCGGGAAATTTAAATAGTCTAATTAACTCAGTCTCCTCTACAGATAAGTGGCTAGTTTTGCCACACAGGACTCTGTAGACGCCCAAACTACTCACCTCTCTGCCTTACAATGCTCCCTCAACAACCTAGACAATAGGGGTAGGCGAAATATCCTGCCGGAAAATGAGCAGGAAAATCTGCCGGCAATATTGCGGGAGCTCTTCAACGTACACCAATGCTTTTTGGTAGGGTCCACAGAGCTCTCTGACCACAGGGACTCCCGTCAGACAACCCAAGGGATGTAGTGTGCAAATTGCATTACTATGAATGAAAAAATAAAATCCTCACATCCCTGCGCAAATCCCAGCAACCGCTCCTCTTCCTCAACTCCCCCATAGCTATCTATCCCGACCTCTCCTGGTTCA